CCCTACTCGCCCGACCTGGCCCCCTGTGACTACTTTTTATTTCCAAAAGTAAAATCAGAGCTAAAGGGGACAAGATTTCAGAGTGTAGAGACAGTAAAAGCGAAAGCGACGGAGGTACTCAACAGCCTAACGGAAGCGGACTTCCAGCACTGCTTCCAACAATGGAAAATACGTATGGAGCGGTGTAGGGATCGCCAAGGAGAATATATAGAAGGAGAAAATTTGTATAATGTAAATAATAATAAATAAAATGTTTTTTAGCACCAGTCCGGTTATTTAATTGCCACACCTCGTATATGTACAAACGGTGTCATTAATTCGAAGAATAGGCGCGTTATATACTAGTAGCAATCACTAGTAGCTACTAGTTAGTTAGTACGGCGCCCGTTGGCGCTACGAGCAACCGCCCCGCTTGCCCTCCGATCCCCGCGCCTATTCTTCGAATTAATGACGCCGTCTGTACATTACTGCATTCTTCTAGCAGCGCAATGCGCATGCGCGAAAACACGACTTCGCAACAACACTGATCTTAATCCTCAAGCGAATTGGCGAAATTTCAATTCTACGACTAAAAACTTAAGGCTTACAGTTGAGCTTGTTATGATGACCAATCAGAAGCGAGACAAAAGTATGCAGATATCAAAACATGGTAGTTGACGTTGACAGTCTTTCATAATGAATCCGAACTTTGATATAGATTTTAGTGAGATATCACAAGAAAATATCAATGATGAAGTTTTAATTTCTCTTATAAGAGAGAATTCAGTGCTTTAGGATAAAACATTAAAAGATTACAAGAATAAAGACCTGAAGTTTGAAATGTGGAAAAGTATTAGAGAGATTCTTACAGGTAAAGTATTGCTTAAATATTGCTTGAATTTTGATAAATAGTAGTTGTTAATAATTATTTACAAAATATGTAATTAATATAATTTTGTTAATCCCTATTAACAAAATATTTTAATATTAGTGACATTAGAGGAGCAAGCAGAAAATCGTTGGATTAGTCTTCGCAATACATTCACTAAGAAATTGCAGGAAATGAAAGCAGGTCAACCTAGTGGTTCAAGCAGCAAAATGTCAAAAATGTGAGTCTACTTTAAGCAAATGTCTTTTCTGGCACCACGCATCGCACATCGAATGCAAGTATATAGTTGTCTATGAAGAATATCTTATTGCTACAGTCTCAACATTTCTATCTGTACAGGTCACGCAGCTCTGTAAAAACATCTCAGCAAGAAAAAAGTATGGCATCACAGAGTATTACAAGATCTTCAATAGAGATCACTGAAGACTCTACAGAGACAGTGAAGACAATGTCGAGACCGTTATCATCAAATAATGTATGGAGTTCTACAGATTTACTGACATGTTCAGATGATAACTGTTACGTGCCGCGATCCTTGCCGCCGCTCAAGTTACGATTTTATCTACTTCCTTTGTTGACACATACGACCCGCCGAAATCATACACTAATAAACACAGCCCGATAAACTTCCACTCCTTACAAACCCTCTCCCTAAATTCCTTCGTCGCTCGTTGCATGAATCTGTGACTCACTAAAAGACAAACATTACACGCCTTAGGAACGAAGGTCTAGCTCACATGTTTTTAGTTTAAGACAAGTCAGTTCTCGTTCGCAGCTCAGACGAGCAACACTACCTCTCACATCAATAAAGTACCTCACAGAAAGAATCCTGCATATTCTTTTATCTAATTACGTGGCTATCCGGCACGTAACATAACACTAACAATCTTTTACAAGATGAATCCATATCAATAGCTAGTATTGCATCACCAATTTCAGACCAGCAATCATTTGTTATTTTAAATGACTCTGAGAATAACGTATCTGATTGTGAATAATATATAGCAAAAACAGACAGCTACAGACATTGTTACTGAAACAAGCAAAATCCAGAAAAAGAAAGTAGTGCCAGCTGTAGATCGATTTGCAGTAAAGAAACAGAAAACAACGGAAATAGAGAATGTATTGTGCCAATCTTCTCACGCTCTCAATGTAATGGCAACGGCATATTTGAATCGTGCTACTGTTGAGCAGCAGCATCCGTATATCACAGCAATAGCTGAAGCAATGAAACGAATACCAAATGAACAGCAATTGACCTGTTTCATGGCAGTCATGCAAGTAATCTCAAATTACACACAAAATAATCGCTAGGCTAGGTTTACTGAGTACTAATATTTTTAACATACAAAATAGTCTTTATATGGCTGTGTTTCTCAGTACAAAAAGATTCTACCTTTATTTTACGTTATTTTAGTATCTCAGTACAAAAAGATTCTAACTTTATTTTACGTTATTTTATCTTGTTATCATATGCTAATTTTTTGTATTTTGTAATACTGTTTTTATATCTTTATCATTTTTAAAAGTTGTTTTTTTAATAGATGCTAAGTTTTTTTTATAGAATGTTAATTATACTTAGTATAATTAATATAATTAATTTAATTAAATTAATAGAATTTAACCTTTGTATTATTCTTGATAAAGTAACATTTCTGATACTAAACTACTTGTGTTTCTATCTAACGTATTAAGATGAAATTTTTACTTATAATTTTATTTTTAAAGATTAGTCATTATGTAAAAATAATGCTTACAGTTAATATTCGTAGTCCGATATATAAGTATGCACTTATTAGACATTACTTATGAATGGTGATATGATTGATTATTTTATCTTACATACAAGTACTGTAAAACTGTTTAGACTGCTTTATTGTAATACGTATTATATACTCCCAAGTAGCATAAAAACGTTCTCAGAATGTTTGGCGAATGTTAGAACAGTAACAGTGAAAAACGTTTTTGTTATGTTAGAAGTTCGCTCAGGACTAACATTCTCCTAACATTCAGCAAACGTTCTCAGAACGTTTTACTGAAACGTTTCCGTAACAT